CCTGACAGCAGCCACCCCCACCAAGTACATGGACCCACTACCGTGCTGGGGGCGAATTGCTAAGTGGCTCTCTTTGCTCTGTTCTGATAGGTGTTGCAAAGATGCTCTATCCTATTGAAGAAGTTCATTTTCTATTTCTTCTTTACTGCGCGTTTTGTTTTCATTTGTTGCTTGAGATGAATTTGTCACTGAAGACTCCAAGTTCATTTCCGTTTCACGTTTCTTGCTTTGTTTTTAGTCATTCAGACCAGAATTGAGAGTTGAGAGATAAGGAATCCAGAGGCATTGTTGTTTTGCTTTTAAAGAAACACACACGTTATATATTTACACAGTCCTTTACACAGTCCGTCTCAAGAAATGAAATGAACAACAATATCCTGTCAGAGATGTGCTTCTCTGTGTTTTCCTCCTGATCCCCTCCCTCCTCAATATCCCACCCCTCCCCCGTTTCTGTTCCTACCCCAGCCCAAGAGTTTCTATCAGGAGTAGTTATTGAGCTTTGTCAAATGCATTTTCTATATCTATGGAGATGATCGTGTGACTGACTCCTTTATCCTGTAAACGTGGCAAAAAGTCAATGAATTACATTGGTTGGTTTTCAAGTGTTTAACCAACCTTGCATTCCTGAAATAATTCTATTACAGTAACATTCACTGCAGTTTTTCAGCGGGGTGGGGGGAAACTTGAAAGTTAAAAGAGATTGAAAAGATGTAACTAACTAGGCACTTTGCATAGAACTTATTTTGAGTCTGATTTTTTTCAACGTACAAGAAATAGCATCTTTATGAACAGTTAGAAATTTGAAGGATGGCAGGATATATGATAATAGTAAGAAAAATGGCTGGTTTTTCAGATATGATAATGGTGTTATAGTTATATGTTTTAAAGTATTTATTCACATTTAGGGAGAGAGGGACACACTAGTGAATGAAATGATTTCTTTAAACGTCTCTGATAGTCCCTTATCACTCATAGGATCAAATCCACTGTCCTACATATTGCCCACCTCTGCCCTCACCCTCTACCAGTTGTTTGTGTTTCCGGAATGTGTCAAAATCTTCTCTGCCTTACAATCTTGGCACATATTGTCCTCCTGGCTGGGGAGCTTCCTTCCTCCCCAGTCTTTCCTTGGGGAATTCCTAGGTCCTCCCTTAATGTTCTATTCCTTGGGGACAGGTTTACAACCTCTCTCTTCCCTCCCCCCACTCCCACCCCAATCCTTCTGGCACAGAGCAGATGGCTCAAGTCTCTGATAGAGGGGTGAAAGGGTTAACCTGCTATTAATCAAAATACTAGCCATATAACCGAATTTAAAACTTAGTTTGTTGGAAATCCAACATGTAACAGCCCCTCCCTCACAGTAAATAAATCCCTCTAAGCCAAACCAGTAGGATGCTCTAATTCAGGAAGGTGGTAGGCCAGGCCATTCAGATGTGTAGCCAGGCATGAAGCATCTCTCATCTAGGTAAGCAGTGGAGTGTGGTGTTTCATGGGAGGGTGGTCTGGTCACCCCTGGAGAAATGTCGGCTTCGATCATGGTTTCCTGTGGTCATCGCCAAACCTGCTTTTGTCACATAGTTTGAAGTGCAGAACTTGCTTGGTTATCACTGGATTTTTGAGGTCGTTTGGAGGTAGCAACATCCACTGTTTCCTTCTGTCTTGCACTTGCCAAATGAACTTGGAGTTTCTCTATTCAGCTGGGTCTCTGTCTTTGGCTGAACATTGTCTGATCCTTGCTCCCAGGCACAAAGGGAGGAAAGTGAGGGAATCTTTCCTTTATCCCTTTCTCCACTGCTGTTGTCTTCGCCTAACCCATCACCATCATCAGGATCCTCACGGAAGACAGCTTACCTGACGTCCTGGCTGCACTCACCCACCCTCTCTCCCTCGGGTCCTCACTTTACCCTGAAGCCAGAGTGGTCTGTGTAAGGGTCAGTGCTGGCTTTAAAAATATATGTGTGTGATTTATTTTATTTTCATGATTATTGTTGATACTCCACACAGCAGAACACACACCAACCCAGCAACCCCTACAGGTCCGTGCACTTCAAGAGCATCGACTACACGCTTCCGTTTGTACAACTATTCTCACTCTGTTTCTCCGAGTCCTTCCTCCCGCTACTAAAAACTCACTGCTCTATAAGGTTCCTCTCTCATCTTTGAGATTGTTACTGTCGATTCAATCCCTTGAGTTCGATTACAATGCTCAAGGCCAGGCATTCTTTGCTCGTTAAGCTAAACTATTGCTTGGTTGTAGGAGGGCTTTGGGGGATTATTTTGTATTCACGATTTAAAGATTCTGTTCTGCATTCTCTCCCTTATGGCCAAGATGCTTCTAGAGAGTCTTTGGTCAGAATGTCCAGTAATGGTAGCTGAGTACCATCCACTTCTGGTCTCATGACAAGCATTTCTGACTTCTTTGACCACATGCCCCACCTGCTGAGGAACAAGCTGAGTGGAGCTAATGGCTTACACTCCCCAAGCACCCTACCGATACACGCAGATTCAGGCCTGTCTCTCAACCCACCCCAAGGACTCTGCGGTTCATGAACAGCACAGCTGTTCATGACATGACTCTGCTGTTCATGACTTCACCTGGAACCTTCTCCTGGTTGGCACCAGAAGCCACTTTGTTGGTGATCAGGCCTGGGGACTGGCCCCAGGAACACAGTGTGTCCTGCAGGCTGGACCCCAGGTTCCCAGTCCCCACCCAGAGGGACACAGAGTCCAACGCTGGGTTCTTGGAAAAGCTGCATCAGAGGGTTTAATGAGTGACCTACAGGGCTGTTTTCCACCCCTGAGGGTGCAAAACAGCCTGAGGTCAGGCCGTGGGCTGGGCAGCTGGATGGGGCCCTGACCAATGACAGCGGGCAGCTGGAAAAGCAGAAGTGGAAAACAGCCCTGGTGGAGCTGGCTCCAGCTGCAGCTCCCTTGGGCAGGGCCTTCTCTTCTCAGTGGCCATCCCTGCAGGTGTGGGCAGGGAGGAGGGTGGTGAGCCTGGAGCTGGGAGCCTTGGTGTGACCTTGAGCAAGTCACTCCTTTCCAGCCCTTCCTTTGTCATTTCAACGGGGAAACAGAGAAGGCTAGAAGGCAAACATGGCTAGGTGGAATGGACGGCTCCCTTTGCAGCTTCTCAGCGCTCAAATGCTCTTTCTTCTGCTCCGGGTCCTTGTGCCCCTCATGCATCCTCCTTTCTCGGTGGGGAGTGCAGGCCCTGGGCTCTGCAGTCAGAGCAGCCTGAGTGCAGTCCTAAGCTATGGATGGGACTTGGCATAGACCAATCTCTGATTCCCTATGGAATGGAGATGCTGTTTTCTGCCATTGGCTTCCATGGGAGATTTAAATAAACCGGATGGCCCCACTAGACAGGGCGCAAAGGGTAGCCCTGTAGCCCTGTAGCCCTGAAGGGCCTGGGTGAGACTGAGGAGGGGCAAGCAGGTAAGCTCAGGGGCCAGAGAGGAGTCAGCATTTCCCCCCACCCCCCTGCAGGCCTCAGCCTCTGCACCATCTTGCTGCCACACTGGCCTACCTCTCCTGGCCGGCAAGCCCCCTGGCTCCACAAAAATGACCAGTCCAGCCAAGAGCAGGGCTTCACCCCTGAGCCATGGAGCCCAAGTTTGCACAAAGGGGCCTTCAGACCAAGGTAGGGTCTCACAGGGTGTATGGGGGATGTGAGGGCCTGGGGGTCTTCCCCCATTCTGTCTGCTTCCCCTGAAATCCCTCCTCTCCCCAGCAGGAAATTCTACCTCCAGGGACTACTTTGGCTTAAAGCAGGGGACAGGGCCTGTTGTTGGGAACCCTTTAAGCTACGAATGGTTTTTCATATTTGCAGAATCATTCCATTTCATGACGCGGGTGAATTATATGCTATTCAAATGTTAAGTGTCCATCAATAAAGTTTTATTGGCATGGAGCTGTCCCTGTTTGATGCCTGTGCCCTGAGATGACAAAGGTGAGTCATTGCGACAGAGACAGCATGTCCTGTGACCCTGATAATATTTACTATCTGGCACTTTGCAGATAAAAACTAAAAAAGTTTGTCGACTCCTAGTTTAAAGGAGACTGGCCAATTTGGAAAGTGGGGGTTCCCCCTGGGTTGGTTGGGATCCAGCTTCAGTTGGGGGGAGTCCCAGCTATGTGTCAGTCAACTCATGCCCCCTCCTTCCCACCCACTTCCACGGAATGATGTCCACCGATACATAGCCACCCCGTGGGCGGAGTAGGGGTCTTGGGGGGGGGGTGTCCAAGGCTGTCAGTCTATGGAAGCAGACAATCTTCTCTTTCCCTGCAGAGGAGCTGTTGTGTTTGAACCAGTGACCTTGGATTATGACCCAATGCCTGACCCTCTGTGCCACCTTGCTGTCTCCCGAAGCCTCCCCTTTGCCATCTGGAAAATGGGTCCCGTGATTTCTTCCCCGTATAACCCCCAGGCTTGCTGGAGGGCACCATGTAGACAATCATGTATCCCTTCATCAGAAATAGCTCCCTCTGGCAGCTTTCCGCATCACCCAGACGCGAGAGACCGTTGACCAGGGGAGGACGGCCACGGCTCACGGACCAAGAAGAGCGAGGAGAAAACGCATTTTCCTCTCCAGAACCAGAAGCTGTGTCTGCAGGCAGCTAACAACAGGGTTGCCTCGAGAGGTGGGGTTGCAGCCGGCCTAGGAGAACAGGGACCGGCAATGGGGAGCAGCACGGCGGGGCTGCTGCTGAGCTCCTCCCTCTTGAGCACCCCCTGAGACGCAGACCAGGTCCAGGGCCCTGCACCCCCAAACATGGGCCCCTTTGAGTCGGGTCTCTCCTAAAGGGCCCATCCTTCATTGCTTCACCTCACCTTCCCTTTCAGGTAAGACCTTCCTCTCCCTCCCCTTCCTCACTCAGCTCCAGCAGCCCTGGCCCCCTGGCCGGACCCGCCCCACCACATACACCCCTGACCAAAGGCCCTGACACTGCTGTCCCCTCTGGCAGGGACACCCGCTCCTGAGTCTGTGGGGCTTTCTTCCTCGCCTTCTTATGGTCTCTGTTCAAATGTGCCCTCAGCGAGGCCCATCTTTTAAAAAACAGTCTTTTAAAAATGATCCTCAACACACCCGCAACCCCCCCCCCAACCTTTTAAACTTTGCTTTTTCTCCCCCGCACAGGGTTTTAATGCTCACAGTGGCCGTGGCAGCCCCAACCCCCAGGTCAGCAGTTTGACTCCACCAGCTTGTCCAGGTGAGAGAGAGACGAGACTGCCTGCCTGTTCCTGTGAAGATGGACAGTCTCGGACACCTGCAGGGGCAGTTCTACCCTGTTCCATGGGGTGGCTATGGCACCAGGTTTCCCTGGTACACACGCAGATGCAATGGTTCTTGGGGCAGTGAGTTTAATGAATTAATTCCGAGAGCATGAGCTGTGTGTTGTTTGGGTATTTTATGTCTGTTCATTTAATTCTCACCGATGTATGTGTGTATGTATGT